GTATTGGAAGGATGCATCAGCAAATCAAATGGTTGGAACTAAGTGTGAGGTACCCACACGAAGGAACAAGCTTGGGAGAAGTCTGAGTACCCCATGAACGGCTAGTGCTTCGGCCTTTGGCCTACCGGGGAGTTTCTTTTACCTTCTTGTATGTATGGATGTGCATTGGGGACAATGCACAATCTTAAGTGTGGGGTGAGGAGATTGTCTGGGTGGTTTTTCATGCTACTTTAGCTGTGTTTGTTTTTTTTAAAAGATTGGACTTTTCCTGATGACGGATCTTCTAGACAGTTTTCTTGAGGGAAGTAAGTCTAAAGAAAATACCAAAAAGATTTTTTGTTTTGTGTTAGGTAGTGTAACAATTACCCCTTGGTTTTTCTTTAAACCACGATTCTTTTCCAAGGGTTTTATTTGAACCGGGTGTAGTTAGTTTTTTTTTTGGGAATAGGAGCCATTGTGTTTTGTTTTGAAATGAAGCAATATCTCTTGACTTTATTATGCCTTGAGAATAGTGAGTACTTTGGCTGTGACGCTTAGGCTCAGTTTTTGACTCTTGTATAAGTACCTTAAATTGTATGATTTTAAATTTGCTTAACTACTCTGACTAGGGTGTCTTGATGAATCCAATCCTGAGTGAGTTATGTGCCATGTGTGTGTAAGGTTTTTTGATATTCTGTGCATTGCATTTGATGCCTAGAACTTGCCCCGTGTGTTTGTAAAGCGAAATAGTAGTTTTATTCAGTCTAGGAAGTGATATAGGCATTTCTTTGTTGAGCCAGATATGTATATTTTACCCGCCTAATTATTATGTATCGTAGTTAACCCCTTCGAGCCTGTAATCCTGTTTCTTTGGCAACCACATTACAAGCCTTATCCATTTGTTCGAATTAACCATCTATTTGAACCATTGAAACCTCTCATGAGCACTTGAATTGTTTATGAACTTTATAAAAGTTAAAGTGTGGGGTGGTTGGTTTGGCTTTTGAGTGGAACTAATGAAATAAGGAGAAAGGTGCACTGTTTTGAAAAAGGAAGAGCCACTTGAATTGAAAACAAAATAGTTGGATTGTTGAAAAAAAAAATCTTGATAAGTGGTGGCTCTTGACGTAAGTGTGCTTAAAGAAGAATGGGGTAATTTACATTGATGTGAAGGTGGAGTTTGGTTTGACATAAGTATGGGGTTTGAATGTTAAAATGTATGTATTAAAGTGCTTAGGGAGGTGTAGTCACTCTTATATCTAAATGTATCCTACCCGTCCCGTAGCCTACATTACAACCAAATAAAGTCCTAATTGATCCAAGATTGAATGAGCTCGATTAGTGGAGTAGTACACTACGGGCAAGCTTATGGTGCATCTTTTGTGGCATATGAATGTTATTTCTGAGAGTGAGTGAATTCTTTCTATCTTGAGTTCCTAAGTGTTCTTAAATTTTATTGTGTGGAACTACTCTCTTTTGTTGTGTGAGGGCACTTGATTCATGAAGGAAAGGTAATGTCAGTCACCTCTATATTAGAGTAAGTGGGTGAGTTGTGAATAACGTGTGGTACTTGTGAGTCAAATCTTGAGGTGAAGATGTTACGCTTTTGTGCTTAGTCTATTTTAAATACTCTTGGTGTGATGAGTTAGGAGAATTGTTTAAAAAGGTCGTGTCTATAAAAAAAAGTGTAGTTTGATTGCTCGAGGATGAGCAATGGTTTAAGTGTGGGGTGTTGATGATAGGCTATAATTGCATATTTTAGTCGCTTATTACACTCGAATTTACTGCACTTTAATTGAGTTTGCGCTTTAATCGCTAGTGTTCTGCACTAATTGTGTGTTTTATGCCTTGTAGGTGTGATTCCGAGCTATATAGATGTTATGGAATGAATTTAAGTGATTTGAAGCTTTGAAGTCTGAGTAAAAGCTCAAGGAATTAAGCCGGGATCGTGTTCGGGGGTCAAATTTGATAATTAAGTACGAACGAAGGCTTGAGGAGGCATATTGCGCACTGTCTAGTAAAATAGACATAACGTTTTTCTCAGAACTCCATTTCGGCTCCACAATATATGGTTGGAAAGCTAACTCAAAGGGCTACAACTTTCATGTTTTACGTTTTTCCAAATTCCAAACGGAACAGGGTGAGAAACCGCGGTTTTTCCGCGACCGCGGCAGAACCGCGGTAGAAGATGGTCGCGGACAACTGAAGAATCAGAGGGCATGTTTGGCCGCGGTTCCACCGCGACCGCGGCAAAACCGCGGCAGGAAGCGAAAATTTCAGGGACTAAAGTGCAAAACATGGGATTTTAAGTCCTAAACCCTATATTAAACAAAGGAGGCCGGCCAAGAACAAGAAGAGGACATATTTTGGACATAAATTAGACCTAAGGAGGCGGAGAGACACTACTTTAGGGTTAGACAACACCCTTGGAGGCAAGAACACATTGGGAGCAAGGCGGAGAATTCTTCTACGAGTTTTTCCTTCCTCTTCCTATTTTTTTCATTGTTGGTTATGACTTTTAGTATTGTAATTTTACATACTATTATGAATAGCTAATTTGTTATCTAGAGTTTGATAGAACCTTTTGTAGGATAAATTCTTGTTATGTTTTTATATAATTGAGCCATAGCTTTTCTCTATTTGTTCAACTACGTTTATATTGTGGTTGATTGAAGAGCTCTCAATTAGCTGTGCCTATTTAGTATGCATAACTCGGGAGAGAGTGCATATTTAGGTAGTTGTTAAACAACACCACTCCCAAAGTATATGAGGGATCAATAACTGAGGGTTTAAGGGCGGGATTAGGGATAACGAAGCCTTGGGTGCGATCTGAAGTGAGTTGTATTAAAAGCCAGCTAGCGTAGCTCGGGAGAGCGCGTCTAGTAAATTGTCGTAATTACTCGGGAGAGATTTACGGTAATAAGAGTGCTCATGATCGGTAGAGAATACTTAGGCGAAATTATAGAAGACATAGCAGGAAGGATTCTGACAATAGGGGAAATCATAACTCTAGACCTCCTTAATCTTTTCTCTAACCCTCAGTATCGTTAGTTGTTAATTTACTATTTTAATTTGTTAGTTAATTAGTTAAACAGAAGAATCTTAATATCTATAAGTTAGGAATTGTTCAAGCTTGTCTTCTTGGTGATAGTGAACAGCTGTAGCTAAACCTTAGTTCTGTGTGGGATTCGACTCCGGATTTGTAAACCGGATTATATTTGCAACGACCGCATTGTCCTTTTTATAAGGCATAGTTGGGCGTGATCATTTTGATATATTTCTCTTTTGTTGTCTGATTTTCATCGTTGAAGGTATGCTTTGTAACTTTCCATATTACCAGATTATTTTGATCCTAACATGTGATTTATATATTTAAAGGGAAAAAGGAAAAGAATCCAAAAAGAGGGACGCAGAGGCATGATGCACATTCTTATTTGAGAATTTGTGAATACTCACATGTTATTTCAAACTGAAAATGATTTCAATGGTATTTTTGAAATGAAATTTCACAAATCGTCTTCATTCGTATATATCAATTATCAATACACATATTTAGTTAATGAATCCTAGTTGTGCAAGACGACTCGATTTTTAAAAAAAAAAAAAATTGGCAAAGTGAAAAGAAAAACAAAAACAGGAAACAAAACGAAAGATGAGGAAAAAAAGAAAGCAAATATTGGTTGATTTTTCTGTCTATGATTGTTGGCACTCCCAAAATAAGGAAAGTAGTTGTGTGCATCACATGGGAGATTGGCTATGCCGAAAGAACCTCTAAGATGCATTGAACAAAGGCCATTCAATACATAGACAAAGAGGTAATAAGGGAACATATCATGAAATTAGAGATCTTAATCAAGATTTGTGACCACTTTTTGTTTCCCCTATTATAAAAATAAAAATTATAAAAATCTAATCTCTTGTTTAGGTGAGAACCCTTTAAAACTAATATTTCTTTTCAACTTTTAAATTAAATTTTAGTCTTTAATTAAGACTGCCTTATATAAGCGAGAAAGCATTTCCAATGACAAATGCAATTGTCATGAAATGAGGTCCCTAATGTTTCTTGAGAAGTAAACGTCATCCTAGAAGACTGCTTTGGACTATTTGATCTTCTTCTTACTTTCACTTGTTGGTGCTATTTTTAGCTATTACAATAAGTTAGAGTAGCATTTTTGAACTTGTGAAGGTGTTGGCATTTTTTCAATGACATTAATTAGTGAATAATGTTCATATACTCGATATCTACTTACTTAAAAGTTGAGGTATAATAATAGTTGTCGTTGTAATATGTTGTTTGCTTTTATTTTGTTTAGCTGAATTGCATTCTGAGACATTTGAAGGATATATGAAAGATGGAGCACTAATAAATATCCAGCCAACAAAATAGGAGACTTTGATAGCAACTTAGACCTTCTATCAATTTAACACATGCTAATGATATTATTGAATGGCCTTCAAATCAAAAGGAATGTCCCCTCAAGAAGACTATATGTCCCATGACTTAGATTTTTTGAGTATCGATAATCATAATGACTCGACTAACTTAAATTCACGCAAAACTATCAGAAGATTCATAACACCTTATTCCTTCTATTTATGAAATTATTGAAATGCCTTAAAATCAAAAGAAATGTCCCATCAATAATATCACGTACGTCCTATGAAATTATTTTCTTTAAACATTCCATATTCGAATTACATTTGCTCGATTTATCTAGTCTCAGAATAGATACACCTACTAAAGAGGATAAAATGTTTCTTACCAAGAAGTTCTTCACTCAAAGAGCTCAGATACAATAAGAGTAGTAAAAAGAAGGAAGTGATTATGCATTACACATGACACTCTTTCAAAATTTATACTTGATGGATTCAGAACAGACAGTTGCCTTCACGTGGATTATCTTGTCGACTACCTTATTTTGGTCACTTCTTAATAAACCAAATAATGCAAGAGGTATACTTTTTTGGAAATAACCTAATCCTATGTTAAAATTTGCAAGCCTCCATCCAAGAGAAAAACATAAGAAAAGTTGAACACCATATTCAAGCTTGTTGCAACTAGTATAATACTGCCAATACGTATAAATATTCACTCATATACAATGACAAAAAAGAGAAAAGAAAGATAACAGAAACCATCTGAGCCTATCTAATCCTACCTACACACCTACAAGCTTCAAGCTTGGTTTCTGAATATCTCCTTTATAACACACTTATAGTATAATTTTCTCACCCTTAATTTCTACCCCTTTAATATTTACGTATTTACCAATAATAATTTTGTAGTACTATACTTGATTTTGCAAGTCTTTTGAGCTAATAAAAGTCCCATGAAATCCATATGGAACTCTAGATGGAAGCTTAACAGTAGCTTCCAATTCTAGAGTCACAGCATTCACAATTTGTAGTTCTGATTTCCATGTCTTCTCGTCATGGCAAAATGCAAGAATAAAACCGTCATCTTCGTTCTCCGAATTTATATTTCTTGGTAAAAATAATGGCTCACCTCCATATCTTTCATCTCCATACATATATTTCTGAACTTTTCCTGTAGATAGGTCTACTTTTGCAAATCCTGATACTTTTGGCCATGGCTCTGCAATTGCAAGATAAGCATATTGTGTTTTTTGGCCAAGTTTGTTCTTATTAACCATTCCAGCTTCCAAATTAACTTGTTCTGACGATGAAATTATAGCGCGTTTTGTCGATTCGCCTGTCTTCAAATTGAGCCTTATTTCGGACAAAACACTCTGTAAATTCTCATTACATTCGTTAAAAATTGAGTCTGGTGGTGTCATGCATGAGCCAATGACAACTACTTCATCTGTCTCTGGCTCTTCCCAAGCATTCCATAAATGAAAACAGAATGTTTCGGGTGATTCTACCCAAATAATATTCGTCGAATCTTTAGCATTTTTGGGTAGAATCCCGAACCTGGATTTCTTGTTTTTGTCATAAATTACTGGTGAACCACCTTTGATCATCTCTTGAAGCTTGAACACAACTTGCTGATCGGGAATTACGACATAATTCTCGGTAATAGCAAAATCATGCATCATGGTGGGCACGTCGAGTGGAATTTCGACGTCAGGTGATTTCTTCCCATCTATCGAAAACTTGAAGTACTTCAAGTAAGGCTTCTTAACTACGTCGTAGCTCAAAGCGAAAAGCTCACCGGAAACAGGATCAATTTTCGGGTGAGCAATCATTGTGCTTTTTAATTGCTCGTCAAAATCGTACCTTCCAACAGTTTGAAGGTCACCAGAAGACGAGATTTGAACTTGATACGGGACATCATCTTCTGACATGGCTAAAAGTTTGTTGTTAAAGTAAACCAATCCGGCATTAGCCACTCCCATGCCGTGGCTATGATCCACGAGCCCGAATAGTCCACGAGCGTAGAAGAGCAATAGCCGCGCAATTCCAGAATGGCCGTGAAGTTCTCCAATGGCTTTTGGAAAAACAGGACGACCCAATTCGCGTTCTTGGACTAATCTTTGCGTTTCAGTGAAACGACAAGAATAGCTCACTGAGCTATTATCAATGGTGACGGCATGAATCATCCCGTCACCATCAAAAAGGTGGTGACCCGCTACTGGTTGAAAGAGCGGGTTAGCACCGTTACGGACATAAACGCCGTTAATGCAATGGGGAATTGTCCCTGTAACGGGAAGATTATGACGGACGGGCTGTTCCGGCACCGGGGCGAAGTTGCCGGCGATTTGTACACGTGGATCAGCTGTTTTAGGAAGTGGGTTTTGGAGTTCGCGTGAGACTAACGCGCTCTCGACAATATTTAAAGCTTTTGCTGCTGCTCTCTGGAAAAGATTCAAGTCAGGAGTTTGAGGCTGAGAGTGTAAATGTTTGTTGGGAATTGTTTGATTTTGTTTTTTCTGTTTAGGGAAAGTGAGTACAGCAGGGGACTGTAAAGCAGAGTGGATGTTAGTTTTTCTAATTGTGAGATTTTTCTTAGAGATGGATTTTGAAGGGAGGGAAAAATCAACATGAGAAGAAGAATAAGAAGTTGATGGTGAAAAGGGATGAGAATTTTGGGTTGTAGCCCAAGTAGTGTAATTTGCAGATGTAGAAGTCATTTTGTTGTTCTTTTGAAGAGGGGAGAGAAGAGAAGAAAGAGAGGATTGTGGGAGAAGAGAGAGGGAAAGAAAGGTTTAAATAGAAGTGTATTTGAGAAAAAGAGGGGAGTGTGTATGGTAAAGAGGAGAATGGAGGTCCACCTTAGACATCTAAGGGAAGAGCACGTGGTGGATTTTGTGAGAAAGTCACTTGGGAGCAACATAAGGGGTAGGACTAGGGGTAGGGGTAGGGGTAGGGGTAGAGAGAGGAGGAAAAAGTTTGGTATTCACATTGGGTCCGACTAAATTCGGATTCGTATCGGGAAGTTCCATGTTGGAGGTAAAGCGCTTCCTAACAAAGGCGATTTCATATTTAGTAACTCAACCTGAGACCTCCGCTTAAGGTTGTAAGAGTACTTACGACTCCACCACATTATTGGTTAGAGGAAAAAGTTGGAGGAGAGTATCGGATATGAAAAATAATGAAAGAAAAACTAAAAACATATTCGTTTGTTGGTGAATATGTGGGAAGGTCACTTGGGATCAACATATGCATAACCGCGTAAGATATAGTTAGGAGAAAGAAAGTGGGGGTAAGAGGGTGGAAATGTTGTATTTGAAATGAAATACCAATAAAAAGATTAAAAGTAATACAACAACAACAGTTCACTCAATGCAGTTTCACAAGTGAGGTTAGGGGAGGATAGTAAGTAAAAATCTTACATTAACCTTATGCTGGTAAAGAGATTATTTTCGATAGATGAATCCTCGGCTCCAAGCAAACATGCTAAATCACAACAGTATAGAAAAGCAATATAGTAACGTGAAATCACAAAAAGATTAGAAGTATTAATAGTTTCATAATTTAAAATATGTAAAATATTTACATTTAAGAAATTCTTTTAATCTTCAAAATATAATACTTTATTGTCATATAAAATAAGATAAATAGTAGTACTAGTATGTAACTTTTTCAGCAACAAAAGTATCAAAAAGTTATTGAGTTTTTTGGTTCCAAGAACTAACTTATTTGAATTGTTTGGTTTCAAAGTTTTAGCATCAACTTTGGAAGTTGTTTTTAATTTCTGATTACAAAAGTTGGAAATCAGTCTTATTGGAGGAGATGCATGAATTAAAGACCAATAAGAGATGGAAAATTAAAGTCAGAGGGTAAAATAACTCAGTCAAAACAGTAGTCAGCACTGCCTTCTGCTGATTGCCCACTTTTAATTGATTTTTGTGCGTTTCCTGAAATTTGCAGGAACTGTAAAAGCAGTACTTCCTAACGCGCTCCGTTGACGAGCCCGGAACCTGGTTCTCTTAGACTCAAAATATTTTTTTAAGTGTAAAAAAAAAATTATATTTCTATATAAAACGTGGTTATGAACCGTGGTTTAGCTTAACGGCCATTTGGGAAATTACGGCAAAATGCGGTTCATAATCGTATTTTATATAAAACGGGGTAACAAACCGCGATTTACATAGTAGCTGAAAAGACAAGTACATAAAGCGCGATTCATTACCGCGTTTTATATAAAGCGCAGTAATGAACTGCGTTTTACATGTTTAGTAGGTCCACCAATAACTCTTCTGCGCTTAACTGATATAACAATAATTCAAATATGTAAAACGCCCTTTTGAACCGCGTTTTACTTCCAAAATTTTGACCCCCCGGGATTGGGCATTGCCTTATATAAAGGCGTTAAGAGTAGAATATTCCAACTTCGTGATAAACTTTTCTTGTTGTTAAATTCTCAAGCTTTTTTCATAATATCTAAAGAGCGAAAAGTAAGGGTTTCATTATATTTGGGGGGTGAAGTTGTGGTGGTGAATAACTCGGTGAGCTATAGTTTATCTCCACAGAGTCATGTTAAGTTGTCACTTACAATGGAGTACGATAGACTAGTATCACTGTTATGCAATAAAATAAGATTGAGCAAACGTTCGGTGAATTTTAAAATAACTGGAAGATATCTGTATTCTGTGACTCCGCAAGGGGTTGCTTGTTATGCTGAGTTTAACATCGAAGACGATGAAACTCTAAGAGATTTTTTGGGGACTCCGGATGAATACAGGGAATTTATTGTGATAAAATTGTTGGAAATATACGACAAGGCTGAAGACGTTCGCAATTTTGAGGTTGCGCAAAGCAGGGATAACCCTCAATCATCGGATGGTTATTTTGGAGCAGTTTTAGCCCAACAGGTTCCGGCTGAAAGAGTTTGGCCGGATCTAAAATTATCTCCGCGGGCGAACGAGGAGCGAGGAAATAGTTTCTCTCCTACTTTACATAATCCACAAACGACTAGTAAACTTCAATTTTCCTTTATGTTACAATGTTTATTTTTGTTGAATTGAATTTGTATTAGCACTCATATATTCCTCAGGGAGTACCGTCCGGATATGAATTTTACAAGTTATGACCCCACGCCCAGTTGGAATATGCATAATTTTAGCATGTTAGATCACGCTGGTCCATCCGGGAGTCATCACCAACAAGAAAATGTCCATCACGGAATGTCAACACAGTACGACCTGTAAGTGAAGTGATATAGCTATATGTAAAGTATTTATCAATTTGAGTAGCTATCATTTTGTTGTTTGTGCAGTGAAAACGAGCAACTTGATTGTCCTGATCTCACTCTTGCCCGTAGACGACGTATTTACTCGTGATTTGGATGATGCGCAGAGTCAGGAAGATAATAGTGATTATGACAACGATGCCGATGAGTCTGGAGATGACACACCCTTCCCTGACGACGGTGATGATGAAGAGGAAGTGAGTGTCGAACCTGAGCTGACGAGGGAGCATGCTCCTCCACCTCCCGTTAGACCAAGAGTGTACGAGTCCCACATGCCGTTTCATTCAAGGCATATTCCCTACCTTGATAATTTGCCAAGTATGCCGGATGTAGATGCCCTTGCAAGGGATCTTGACGAAATTCGGTCAGCAATGTGGGATGAGTCTAGACCAACAGTGCTGGCAAAGGGCATGCATTTTCCCGATAATGATCGCGTATCCAAGGCTTGTAAAATGTACAGCGTAAGAGAGTGTCGTGAGATGATGGCATGGGAGTCAACTCCGGAGGTATACAAGGTCGTATGCCGTAGATACTTTATGGGTTGTAACTGGATGCTGCGTGCGAGCAAGAAGGAAATAGGGTTGTGGATAGTGGGTAAATATATTAGCACCCACGTTTGTGAAATGGACACATTCAATGAGAATCACTTCAACTTGGATGTTGACTTGATTTCTCTTGTCTTGATTCCTTACTTGGAAGTGTCCATTAGGTACAAGATCAAAGAGTGTATTACATCCGTCCACCAGGAATATGGGTGTACTATTACCAAAAGAAAGGCATATCTCGGGCGCAAACGTGCATTTGTAATTATTTATGGTGACTAGGATAAGTCATTTTCATCTCTACCCAGGTATATGGCCGCACTGAAACAGTTTAACCCCGGGACTGTTGTTGAATGGAAACATGAGCGGAGTCCAGGAATACCGGAATATATATTCATATACGTGTTCTGGGCATTTAAACCAGAAATTGATGGTTTTGTGCATTGCCGTTCGGAAATTTCCATAGACGGTACTCATGTCTATGGAAAGTATGATATTAAGCTGTTGATCGCCTTTGCAGTAGATGTCAATGGACAAATATTTCCACTAGCTTTTGCCATTTGTGCCAATGAAAGTAAAGAGACGTGGACGCTATTTTTAGACCACTTGAAGCAGCACGTTATCAAACAACGTTCAGGTATTTGTCTAATATCTGATCGGCATGGTGGTATTTTAAGTTCTGTACAGCATTTGCCTGAATGGCAGGAACCCTATGCATACAACCGTTATTGTGTGAGGCACCTGAAGGCCAATTTCCAAAAGAAATATCCCAACAAGGACTTGCATGATTTAATGTGGATGGCTACAACTGAGCACCAGCAGTACAAATTCAGGAGGCGCATGGAATCGATCCAGTTGTTAGATGAAAGATCCTATAATTGGTTGATGTGACATGAGCTTCACAAGTGGACATTACATGCTGATGGTGGCAGACGATGGGAGCCCTGACTACAAATGTGTCGGAGTCATTCAACTGGTTATTGAAGTCTGCACGTGGATTGCATGTCACTGCCATGGTCTGGATGACATTCAAACAGATGGCAGAGAGGTTTGTTGAAAGGCATAGAGGTGCATCGGAATTGATGGACGGAGGTGTTGAATTTATGCCAATCCCGATGAGAAGATTTGAGAAATACAGGAGGCAAGTACATTGGCATTCATATTTACAATATGATCACAACCGGGGTGTTCTTGAAGTTCACACCGCTATCCGTCAACACCGGGGGAATAATCTACACACCGTAAATGAAGTCAGCAGGTTGTGTTCATGTGGGAAATGGACCATCTACCACATGCTGTGCTCACATGCCATGAAGTGCTTTCAACAAACGAGTTTAGGGGCAACCAACTATGCTGATAGGTAATATAGTATTGCTCCATACGTGAACACATATAGTGGGCAGTTGCAGCCATTAGGTGCTGAGCATTATTGGCCGCCGGAACCATTTAAAATGCTGTGTAACAAGGACTATTTGCGCAAGCTATAAGTGCAAAAGAGAACGCGTATATGTAACCCAATAGATGTTGGTGATACCGTTTATGTGCGNGTCTATTACAATTCACATCTAATTATGTTTTTAAGTGATCTGATAGCGTAAAAATAACGCTAGAATATAAAATTAAACATGCACCTATCAAAACTTCTCCAAGTTAAAAGAAAAATATAGGGAGAGTATAGAGGTTTAGGCCACAAAATTTAACCATCAAAGAACGAAACAGCAAAGATGGATAAAGGCATCTTTAGGGATTTTTAAGTATAGAAATTATTACACCCGAACCTATTCCTTTTTGGTCCGTTCCAAAAGGAATGATTCCTTTCTAAATTTAGAAATAATTTAGTTTAAATTTACAATTCTATCCTTAATAACAAGCTTTTATAACCACACGAATACTCTGGGACCCTTTTTACCTTATTTAGGACAACAAATTCCAAAAATATTCATTTTTTCTTAAACTTCGTGTCCAGTCAAACAGGTTCACATAAATTGAAACAAAAGGAGTATATGAGTAACTTCCAAGCAAGGAAACATCAAGTTCTTATTAAAGTTCGTATCTGA